CTGTCCCTCTGTCCCTCTGTCCCCTCGGTTTGGGTGGCCCTGCTGGCGGTGTCCCCAAATGTCCCCAGCACCCCAGGGATGCTGTCAGCCTGTCCCTGTGTCACCCCTGTCACCCTGTCAGTGTCACCCTGTCCCTGTGTCACCCGTGTCACCCTGTCAGTGTCACCCCGTCAGTGTCACCCTGTCCCTGTGTCACCCCTGTCACCCAGTCAGTGTCACCCCGTCAGTGTCACCCAGTCAGTGTCACCCCTGTCACCCTGTCAGTGTCACCCTGTCAGTGTCACCCTGTCAGTGACCCCTGTCCCTGTGTCACCCTGTCCCTGTGTCACCCGTGTCACCCATGTCACCCAGTCAGTGTCACCCAGTCAGTGTCACCCTGTCCCTGTGTCACCCCTGTCACCCTGTCCCTGTGTCACCCTGTCAGTGTCACCCATGTCACCCAGTCAGTGTCACCCCTGTCACCCAGTCAGTGTCACCCATGTCACCCTGTCAGTGTCACCCAGTCAGTGTCACCCTGTCCCTGTGTCACCCATGTCACCCTGTCAGTGTCACCCCTGTCACCCAGTCAGTGTCACCCTGTCAGTGTCATCCATGTCACCCATGTCACCCTGTCAGTGACCCCTGTCCCTGTGTCACCCATGTCACCCTGTCAGTGTCACCCATGTCACCCTTGCCACTATGTCACCATGTCACAATGTCACCCTGTGTCACCCAAGTCACCCCTGTCACCCTGTCACTGTCATCCTGTCACAGTGTCACCCATGTCACTCTTGTCACCCTGTCCCTGTGCCACTCCTGTCACCCCTGTCACCCTGTCAGTGTCACCCATGTCACCCCTGTCACCCTGTCAGTGTCACCCTGTCCCTGTGTCACCCATGTCACCCTTGCCACTATGTCACCATGTCACAGTGTCACCCTGTGTCACCCAAGTCACCCCTGTCACCCCGTCACTGTCATCCTGTCACAGTGTCACCCTGTCAGTGTCACCCATGTCACAGTGTCACCCTGTGTCACCCTGTCACCCTGTCAGTGCCCCCTGTCCTGGTGTCCCCTGTCCCACGGTGTCCCCTGGGTGTCCCCTGTCCCCCGGGTGACAGCGGTGTCCCCGTGCTGTCGCTGCTGTCCCCTGGGTGTCCCCTGGGTGTCCCTGGTGTCCCCCCTGTCCCTGTGGGTGTCCCACAGTGTCCCCACGGTGTCCCTGCTGTCCCATGTCCCACGGTGTCCCTGTGGGTGTCCCAGTGTCCCAGTGGGTGACCAGTGTCCCATGGGTGTCCCGGTGGTTGTCCTGGTGTCCCTGTGGGTGTCCCGGTGTCCCGGTGTCCCCATGGGTGTCCCAGTGTCCCATGGGTGTCCCGGTGTCCCGGTGTCCCATGGGTGCCCTGGTGGGTGTCCCAGTGTCCTGTGGGTGTCCCCATGGGTGTCCCAGTGTCCCGTGGGTGTCCCAGTGTCCCGTGGGTGTCCCCTGGGTGTCCCGGTGTCCCGTGGGTGTCCCAGTGTCCCGTGGGTGTCCCATGGGTGTCCCCTGGGTGTCCCAGTGTCCCGTGGGTGTCCCGTGGGTGTCCCCTGGGTGTCCCAGTGTCCCGTGGGTGTCCCCAGGGCGGGCGCAGGAGGTGCAGGCCGAGAACGTGACGGTGCTGGAGGGCGGCACGGCCGAGATCACCTGTCACCTGCACAGGTACGACGGCTCCATCGTCGTCATCCAGAACCCCGCGCGGCAGACGCTCTTCTTCAACGGCACCCGCGGTGAGGGACACCGGGGATTGGGGAAAAAATGGGGGAAATTGGGAAAAAATGGGAAAAAATGGGAAAAATGGGGAAAAGATGGGGAAAAAATGGGGAAAAATAGAGAAAAAATGGGGAAAATGGGGGAAAAATGGGGGAAAATGGGACATGGAACCCCGCGCGGCAGACGCTCTTCTTCAACGGCATCCGCGGTGAGGGCGCCGGGGAAAAATGGGGAAAAATGGGGGAAATTGGGAAAAAATGGGAAAAAAATGGGGAAAAATGGGGGAAATTGGGAAAAAATGGGGAAAAATGGGGGAAAATGGGGAAAAATGGGGGAAAATGGGACATGGAACCCCGCGCGGCAGACGCTCTTCTTCAACGGCACCCGCGGTGAGGACGCCGGGGAAAAATGGGGAAAAATGGGGGAAATTGGGGAAAAATGGGAAAAAATGGGGAAAAATGGGAAAAATGGGGGAAAATGGGGAAAAAAAGGGGAAAAATAGAGAAAAAATGGGGAAAAAATGGGGGAAAATGGGACATGGAACCCCGCGCGGCAGACGCTCTTCTTCAACGGCACCCGCGGTGAGGACACCGGGGATTGGGGAAAAAATGGGGGAAATTGGGAAAAAATGGGGAAAATGGGGAAAAAATGGGAAAAAATGGGGGAAAAATGGGAAAAAATAGATAAAAAATGGGGAAAAAATGGGGAAAATGGGGAAAAATGGGATTGGGACACGGAACCCCGCGCGGCAGACGCTCTTCTTCAACGGCACCCGCGGTGAGGGACACCGGGACACCGAGGGGATTGGGGAAAAAATGGGGAAAATGGGAAAAATGGGGAAAAATGGGGGAAAATGGGGAAAAATGGGAAAAAATGGGGAAAAAATGGGAAAAAATGGGGAAAAAATGGGGGAAAAATGGTAAAAAATGGGGAAAAGATGGGGAAAAATGGGGGAAAATGGGACATGGAACCCTGCGCGGCAGACGCTCTTCTTCAACGGCACCCGCGGTGAGGGACACCGGGGAAAAATGGGAAAAAATGGGGGAAATTGGGAAAAAATGGGGAAAATGGGGGAAAAATGGGGGAAAATGGGGGAAAATGGGACATGGAACCCCGCGCGGCAGACGCTCTTCTTCAACGGCACCCACGGTGAGGGACACCGGGGATTGGGGAAAAAATGGGGGAAAATGGGGAAAAATGGGAAAAAATGGGAAAAATGGGGGAAAATGGGGAAAAAATGGGAAAAATGGGGAAAAAATGGGGAAAAATGGGAAAAGATGGGGAAAAATGGGGAAAAATGGGGGAAAATGGGGAAAAATGGGAATGGGACACGGAACCTCACGCGGCAGACGCTCTTCTTCAACGGCACCCGCGGTGAGGGACACCGGGGATTGGGAAAAATGGGGGAAAATGGGGAAAAATGGGAAAAAATGGGGAAAAATGGGGGAAATGGGAAACAATGGGGGAAAATGGGAAAAAATGGGGAAAAATGGGAAAAAATGGGGGAAAATGGGGGAAAAATGGGGAAAAAATGGGAAAAAATGGGAAAAATGGGGGAAAATGGGAAAAAATGGGAAAAAATGGGGAAAAAATAGAGAAAAATAGAGAAAAATGGGAATGGGACATGGAACCCCGCGCGGCAGATGCTCTTCTTCAACGGCACCCGCGGTGAGGGACACCGGGGATTGGGAAAAATGGGAAAAATGGGGAAAAATGGGAAAAATGGGGGAAAATGGGGGAAAATAGAGAAAAATGGGAGGAAATTGAGAAAAATGGCACTGGGGTCACTGGAGAGATTTGGGACATTGTGGGGATTGGGCAAAAATGGGGGAAAATTTGAGAAAAATGACATTGGGGACGTTGGGGACATTGGGGGAGTGACTGTGACCCTGTGGGTGACCCTGTGACGCCATGGGTGACCCTGTGACCCCCCTGGTGACCTCGTGGGTGACCCCATGACCCTGTGACCCCCCAGTGACCCTGTGGTGACCCCTGTGTGACCCTGTGTCCGCAGCGCTGAAGGACGAGCGCTTTGAGCTGGGGGTGACCATGGGTGACCCTGTGGGTGACCCCATGACCCCTGGGTGACCCCTGGGTGACCCCTGGGTGACCCCGTGACCCCTGTGTGACCCCGCTGACCCCGTGTGCGCAGCGCTGAAGGACGAGCGCTTCGAGCTGGGGGTGACCGTGGGTGGCACTGGGTGACCCTGTGGGTGACCCCATGACCCCTGGGTGACCCCTTGACCCCTCGCTGACCCCTGTGTGACCCCCGTGACACCTCTGTGCGCAGCGCTGAAGGACGAGCGCTTTGAGCTGGGGGTAACTGTGGGTGACCCCGTGACCCCTGAGTGACCCCATGACCCCTGAGTGACCCCATGACCCCCCGCTGACCCCGTGACCCCTGTGTGACCCCTGTGTGACCCCGCTGACCCCGTGTCCGCAGCGCTGAAGGACGAGCGCTTCGAGCTGGCCGAGTTCAGCCGGCGGCGGCTGCGGCTGCGCCTGGCGCGGGCCCGGCTGGACGACGAGGGCGGCTACTTGTGCCAAGTGTACGCCGACGACGCGCACCACCAGATCGCCACGCTCACCGTGCTGGGTACGGGGAATGGGGGAAAATTGAAAAGAAACAGGGAAAAATGGGGGGAAATGG